CTTTGGTTTTGGGGTCTATAATGATCACCATTTTCATATTGGTCATTTCCTTTATGCAATTGCAGTGCTAGCCAAGATAGATCCCATCTGGGGGAGGAAGTATAAGCCACAAGCTTATGCACTTATGGCGGATTTTATGAATTTAAGCAGGCGATCAAATTCAAAGTATGCCCGGTTGAGGTGTTTTGACTTGTGGAAGCTGCACTCTTGGGCTGGGGGATTGACAGAGTTTGCTGATGGACGAAACCAGGAGAGCACAAGTGAAGCAGTTAATGCATACTATTCAGCAGCTTTAATGGGTTTGGCCTATGGGGATACCCATCTTGTTGCCATTGGATCGACCCTTTCAGCTTTAGAGATTCATTCTGCACAGACTTGGTGGCATGTGAAAGAGGGAAGCACTTTATATGGGGAAGAATTCACAAAAAACAACAGGGTGGTGGGTGTTTTATGGTCTAACAAAAGGGATAGCGGCCTTTGGTTTGCTCCACCTGAATGGAAAGAGTGTAGACTTGGAATTCAGGTCTTACCAATATTGCCCATTACTGAACTTCTGTTTTCAGACGTGCAGTTTGTGAAGCAGTTGGTCGAATGGACACTGCCAGCTCTGGCAAGGGAAGGGGTTGGAGAAGGTTGGAAAGGGTTTGTGTATACTTTGGAAGCAATATATGATAAAGTGGGTGCTTTGAACAAAACTAGGAGCTTAACTGGGTTTGATGATGGAAATTCTCTTTCAAATCTTCTATGGTGGATTCATTCTAGAGATGATGAAGTGGGGGAATCTGATAGAGGAAGCAAGTTCTGCTGGTTCAGACACTACTCTCATTGATTCTTTTACGGTGTTTTACATTTGAGTGTTCTCAATATGATCTGATGGGAACAAAAAAAGGATATTTAGTTTGGTGATTTGGTATTTGTCTTTTCTCTTTCTCTATATAAATTTGGAGCGCTATTTTGCAGCGCAATGCTCTGTGATATGATTGCTGTAATTTTCCACCAGATCTTGAGTTGTTATGAATAAAAGTCCAACTTTGCCAAAATTTTGGTTCCTTAGAATGAAAAACAAAAATAATGCAGTGTACAAATAATTTGCTAAGTTGATCATCGGTGGTACCTGTAATTTCCAAATTGAGTAGGTGAATCCGTGAATATTGTTACTGTGTTGATCTTTGTGTATCTGAGGTTGATTTCAGACATTACTAATATTAGATGTGAAATTATCAAATCACATGAGGTGAAGGACGCTAATGTTCGTAGACATAAATGCTTAATTTGGATTTCTGGTGAGATATACATTAAATAGTTAGTGTAGTTCTGCTTGTTATGAGTGGAGATGTAATATAACCAACCAAATCTCTTATAGCACTGGAAAAATAGAAACACTTGTTTGCAAATGAAAACTGATTGATCTTCTGGTGATCTGAAAATTCCAAGCTGAAATCTTTCTGTGTGCTGCTGCTTGAAAATCCTTCTTCGATCTCTGTTCTTGTTTTTTGGACATGTATGCCTGCCTCCATGGTTGCTATATTCTTTGACCCCTTTTCAGATTTTCAACTAGCAGGAAGCTGTTACTCTAAATTTGTCTTGAAATCTGGGAATTGTTGGGGTTTTGTCTGTTCCTTCTTTGTGTTTCCCTTTTTCTTTTTAACTCAAATATTCTGTTGGTGAGAATTTTGAAAGTGAAACAATTGCCACTTTTATTATATAATGTTCTTATACATTTAAGGCAAGTAAGAGGTTAGAGGCAAAGGAACATTTCAGCATCGTTGAAAATGGTGTCCAAAAACATTAAAGGAAATGAGTAGGCTGTGTTGCAGTCTTACTTCCACTAGTATGTTTGAGGGAGTACTGACAGTATCTGGTCTCGGCTGTTTAAAATGGAATGAGGTTAAGAGTCATCAGTAAAGAGGGATACAAAGATGTGAAGGAGCTAGGTGAGTATATTCATGCATCGGATATCTGACAACTCAAGTGAAAAACTAAGTCAACCATTTCAGGTACATATTCTACTATAAGGGCCTAAGGTTACATACTGTGTCATTGCTTATAAATAGTGTAACTGTTGAATGTGTTTTCAGTTTAAACTGTTTATTATTAGATGCTTCTAATAGCACCATTTCCTTTACAGTAGTTTTTTTTTTACCAGTAGATGGCACCTTATCCAGTTCTGAATGTGAGTGAATTATCTATGGTAACATCCGTCTTTGACGTGTTTATTTTAATTAGTAATCTGACTTGCCTTCCTCAAGGTAGACCTAATGATTTGGTTTCTACAGCATGAACTTTCTAACCATGTCAAATGATAATCTAGTACCACTGTGTTGATGTTGCATATATGATGCAGCATACATTCAAAGCAAGCCTTCTCATCGGCTTTCTCAACACATTAGTACGTATTTCATCCATGAGGTCTGACTTGAAAATGTAATCTTTGATCATCCATGAGGTCTTGTAGTTATTATAGCGTGATTAAGCTAGCCTGCTTTTACCAGGCAGAAAGGTTACAATTTTGTAGTTTGATTCTTCATGAGTAGATACTTGACAAAAATTTGAAGTTGCAGGATAGTTTGATAAATTTTAGAAATGCATCAATTAGAACCCTGTCAAAGAGAGCCATTTTGCATATAAAGATCATTCGTGACTATTTGCTGCAACTTAAACACTTCCAAACTTGTTCCACCAAAAATTATTCTCACTTAAATCCAATGTCAAAATTCTCTTCTTTTCTAGGAAAAAGTTGCATTTTGAGATTGGAAATTGAAATAGAAGTAGTAGCAACAAAAGTATTCCACTAAATAATTTTTAATTTTTCTTTATTTTCTCTGCTTATTCTATTAAGGGCTCTTTTGGTGACGATATTTTGAGCTTTTGTGGCGACTTTTGATGCCGCTAAAGGTCTTTTTATTCATGTATTAATTTATGTATAACTACGTGATGTTTTGTAGGTAAATAGAAAATAAAGCTATTTATGTAAAAAAATTAATACGATCTTTAGTTGATAAATAAGAAATCTGCTTAACTAATTCATATATAAATTATAAAAAAATCTATATATTATTTTATACCAGATAGAATATGAAATAACTAACTTTAAATATAAAATAATATATAAATGATGTGATGCGATGCTCTGAAATAACTAACTAACTTTAGATATAAAATAATATATAAATGATGTGATGCGATGATTCAAGCACATTGACCGCAGCCCGCATGATGGTGACAGACTTGATCGTCAATGAAGCCTCTTATTTTTGTTCGTTCTACTTTTAAAATATTTATTTGCTCGAGGATTAATTAGAAATCAACCCTTTTTCTTCAAAATAAGAATAAAATCTGTATATATTATTTATTTTGTAGATAAATAAATCCGGAAAATATAGTAACATGTTCGGTATTTACGAATAACCTTAAAAGGTTACAAATTAAAGTCATAATGCATCTCTAAACCAAAACGCCCATTTTATATTTTTTGATTTAGCCTTAACATGACGTACGAGTGAGTTATTTTTCCAGTGCTTGATTAAAAAAAGAGAGTTATTTTTCCGGTGAAATCTCTTAGGTTCTCAGCCCTTCATGACACTCATTTATATCTTTATTGATTCAGCGAAAATTACTCACTCCATTCTAAATTAGATGTGCATTTTCTAACCATAGCTATAATTATGGCGCTTCAAAAGGCTTAAATTCTAAGGAAGCTTCTGAAAGCCTTTATTTAGGTTCTATAATAAGGAGGTGTAAATCTCAAAAGCCTTTGATGCTCCGGTACTGCAAGCAACCCTTAAACCCCCCCAAAAAAAGTCTTTGACTTCCTATTTTGAAGATTTAAGAGTCGGACGGCTTTCTTTGCTCTAGCTTGGCGAATTGCATCTCTACACAATGACGTTTGTGCGTTTTATACGGTGATTAAGAAATTATTAATAGATTAATCAACTTTACTGTTTTCCCCTTTGTGCATATTAATTAGCCTCTTGAAAAAAAATTCTTAAATCTTCAGAATTTATTTAAACTTTCAAAGACCATATTAATTGTAGAGTAAATTAAAAAAAAATTAATTCTATCCTAATTTAGTTAGTGATCAAGTAATATGAAATAAATATTTTCACTAATATGTTGAATATGAGACGATTGGGGATAGAATTTTTTTTTTCCCTGTAAATGTCCCTTTTGGTCCCCAACCCTTCATCATTCCTCCCAAAAAAAAAAATACTCCCTTCATTTTCATGTCGTCCATACTGCAATACTACAAATAGATAATTCTTAATATCTGTTATTTCAAAAAATTAATGTATAAATGATATTATTTTTTTATTTTATCTTTGTGAGTTATATGCCTTTTGAAAATATATATTTGACCAACATAGAAAAATGAAGTAAATAATTCATGTTCATTAATCAAAATAAATTAATTCATGTTCATGGATTGCTAGTTATTTTGTTAATGCACATGAAATCTAAAATGATACTAACATATAAATAGAAACAGAGGGAGTAATAATTATAATACTCAAATAATAAAGGGGGTGGGTGATGTTTTGTTTGTTTCAGCTAGCAACTTTGAACTTACCGTTTCTTGAAGCACTTTCCTAAAGTATACACTGTTTATACTCTAGATCATGATGTGCTAATCAAAATATAACCACTTATTGTAAATTGACCTCAGCAGTCAGCACCCAACGGCTCAAAATGTTTACCAAATCTCTGTTGGTAACGTTCACTATAATTTGTTCTATTATATCTGACTCTCACTAGTTAATGTCAAATACCAGAGAGTAGGTCAATATGTTTTGTCCTTGTGTAACGTTAATATTCAGAAATTAACTTTAATTACACAAGAAATTAAGCAATTAGCCGGTATTCCTTTTCCCTTTTGTCTCTCTCATCTCCTCTTTTTCCTCATGTTCGTTCCCCTTAAATTTGCAGAAATCTTGGACTTTTCAGCAACTAAAGCTGTGCTAGCCAGCTATTCTTGACAACTTCATAAAAAGTATGAAACACGAAGATGTCACGTTCTGAATTTCTCACTTATTCAAAGTCAACTAGACAATATAGAATCTTGAGATTCAGAATTTCTATCCATTCCTAATCCACCTTCCCTTTAAATTAAACCAAGTAGCCAAAATATTAGAAAGGGTCTTCCAAAAATCTCTTCTTTAATCATCTTGAATGGGAGCTGGTGCTCCAAATCCTCTGTACAGTGAATATTCTATCCTAAACAGCTTGAAAATGGTGCCACTTTTACTGTTTTATGCATTTTCTGTTTTGGTTCAGGGTTATAATGCTGAATTAACCTTGCACCCAAAAACTCAATTTCTCTTCCCTGAAGGAAAATCTTTAGTCTTGCCTGAACCATCAGATTACTTTTCTAGTCAGCTTGTATCCACTCCTTTGCCCACTAATTCATTTTTTCAAAATTTTGTACTCAAGAATGGTGATCAGCCCGAGTATATTCAACCTTATCTTATTCGCTCTGCTAACTCCTCCATTTCTTTTTCTTATCCATCTCAGAACATTTCCTCTGATTTCATTGAACAGATTTTTCGCCCTGATTTGACTATATCTGCTTCCAAGAATCCTAAGCCAAATCAGCGCCATGTAATCTCATCATACAGTGATCTTAGTGTTACTTTGGACTTGCCTTCGAGTAACCTTAGATTCTTTCTTGTAAGAGGTAGTCCTTATTTGACTTTTGCTGTCAATGGGAACACTTCAATTTCAATCTCAACCGCTGATCCAATTCGCAAGCTCTCGTGTGATAGTTCTTTTACTAAGTACACTATCAGACTCCGGAATCGTCAAACCTGGATCCTATATGCGTCTGCTCCGATTCATTTGACTGATAATGTATCCACCATTAAGTCTGGTGGGTTCTCGGGTGTTATTCGGATTGCTCTCTTGGCTGATTCTGATTCCCAATTTGAGAAAATACTTGATAAGTGTAGCTTGACTTATCCTGTTTCGGGAAGTGCCATTTTGGGGTCTTTTGCTCTCAAGTATAAGTGGGATGTGAAGGGTGCAGGGAAGTTGCTTATGCTTGCTCACCCCCTCCATCTTCGACTTCTTTCAAAAGCAGATGCTTCAGTAACTGTGCTGGAGGATGTCAAGTACAGTAGCATGGATGGTGAGCTTGTTGGTGTAATTGGAGATACATGGGATCTTGAAGCAGAGTCAATCCCAGTATCATGGCATTCGATTAAAGGTTTGAATAAAAAATCAATCCCTGAAATTATTCGTGCACTTGGTAACGATGTTAAGACTTTGAATGCATCAAACATATCTGCTACATCGTCTTACTTTTATGGGAAATTGGTTGCTAGAGCAGCAAGATTGGCATTGATTGCAGAAGAGGTTTCTTATCCTAAGATAACACCAGTAGTTGTTCAATTCTTGAAGGATATGATAGAACCTTGGTTAAACGGAACATTTGGTGCCAATGGCTTCTTCTATGACAAGAAATGGGGTGGACTTGTGACTAAACATGGGTTAAATGACACAACAGGTGATTTTGGTTTTGGAATTTACAATGATCATCATTTTCATTTGGGATACTATATATATGGCATTTCAGTGCTTACAAGATTTGATCCTGCATGGGGAAAGCAGTACAAGAGTCAAGCCTATTCTTTAGTGGAAGACTACACGAACTTGGGACCGAAGGAGAACCAGCATTACACGCGTCTTAGGTGTTTTGACTTATGGAAGCTACATTCTTGGGCTGCAGGGCTGACTGAATTTCCATTTGGAAGAAACCAAGAGAGCACAAGTGAAGCAATTAATGCATATTATTCAGCAGCACTGATGGGATCCGCGTATGGAGATGCAGATCTTGTTTCGCTTGGCTCCACTCTAGCAGCCTTTGAAATTCAGTCAGCACAGACTTGGTGGCATGTAAAAGGAGACAACAAAATATATGCACCAAGATTTGTCAAGAACAATAAGGTTGTTGGTATATTATGGTCTAGAAAAAGAGACAGCATTCTCTGGTTTGCACCAGCTGAGAGGAAAGACATTAGGCTGGGGATTCAAGTTCTACCAATATTGCCAATCACTGAGGTTGTGTTTTCTGATGTTGATTATGTGAAGGAGCTCGTAAAATGGGCACTCACTAGTGTACCCAAAAACAGAACTGAGGAAGGATGGAAAGGATTTGTTTATGCCTTGGAAGCAATTTATAAGCAGAAGCAAGCTCTAAATGAAGTGAGGGACCTTAGCAGTCATGATGATGGAAATTCACTCTCAAATCTTTTGTGGTGGATTCATAGCAGAAAATGATCAGCTTTAAACTTGAGAAGTTCACTAATTATGCTTGTTAGATTGTTTATTCTTGATGGATTAAACATTTCCATTTGTTAACTTCATACCAATGTGTTTAATAACCAATATGTCACAAAGTTCATGTTTTTACACTGGACCATTGCTTGAAGCTCTTTTACATGAACAAATATGCACCATGATCAATGGAGTTGCTAAGTAGAATTTTGTTGCTGCTACATTCTGTTTCTGTTACATATCTTGAACTTTGAGATACTATGCAATTGGCACTTATCCACCTAGCAAAATGCCACTTGAACACCACCTGTGGAACCAAGTGGGCAGATTCACTGAGTTACACCAATTTATTCGTGCAAACAGTGGCATATATGCTGAATGAATTTTACACAAGCTGTATCTGCCTATTATTACAACTGTCTTGTATGAATTTAAGTCCGAAAATGTATACGTTAAGGCTTTATTTTGTTGTCCCAATTTGATGTTTATTTTACATATATATATTTAGTGATGTCATCGACAAAGTAATGTTGGATGACACCCTTTGTAGGAAGGTGTGCCATTGCGTGCAAATATGTTGCCTCCATTGAAGAAGACGAGTACAAAAACACTCTTTATAGATTCTAACATATGTTTGATTTTAACCTTTTGATGCAAGAAAAAAGTAGGCCTTCAGGGACCCAACCTAAAACATTAGTTGGTGCCTAGAGTTTCCTAGCTGTGATTAGACAGACATATTATATTCTAACAGTATGGCTGAATTCTGGTGCAACTGCCAAGTTTGCTACTACATCATTAGGTTTTTTTTTTTCCGCTCCCATTCAATAGCTTGAAAATCAAGAAGGAGAGATGACTAGGCAAATACAGTGTGATGAACTCAATTCAAAAGGCAAACTCCTTCCTTTCAATGGTAAGGGATTTCAAACTTGAGTGGGCCACTCCGAAGGATCATTAGTTTTATTTTTTGGGGTGAGATCTTTTCAGATATTCATGTGCTTTGTAATTATATTGTTCTTTGAAGCGTTTGCATTTCAATTTCCTTTTTTTTAATCATGGTTTGGTGGACAGCGCGTCCAGCGAAGTGACAACAAATAAAAGGGGTGCCATCTAAACTCTTTGCATTGACTCGAGCTATTTTTTTTATTTTTTTTTATAAAACAAAGATTTTATTGATTAAATAATTGTAAATACAACTCTGTTTACTTTTTTTTTTGTTCTTCTTTCTAAATATTCCCCGCGTCATGAAAAAATAATTACTCTATTTTAAAGATGATCAGAGGATTGATTTTACAGTATTTTCTTGCCAAATATTCGTTAATTACAAATAGAAAGAAATGTCGTGCTACACGCTCATTACCACATCGGTTTTTTCTTATATATTTTTATATTAAGTAGGAAATCTTGAAAAGGATAGTGAGAGTTGTTTAATTATGCAAATAATAATATTTTTTGGGGGTAAATTAGATAAATCAACAATAATTTGATGCAACAAGGAGAATGAAATAATTCAACAACAAACAAAAAGACAATCTACACAATTAACATGTATTCATTTTCATTGCCATAGACATATTTTTTTAACAACTTCTACGTTATGAGAAGTTCAATAATTTCTTATTGCATAAACTATAAATTGGGGTTCGGGTGAAAAGTTTCAAACTTTTGGAGGAAGGGTTTAATCAGTAGTTGCTTGAGTAGTTCAAACTAAATTTAGTAAGTACTCTTCTGTTTTAATTTATTTATTGTACTTTTACTGTTATTATATTTTAAAATTAAATTATTAATTTTAATTTTTTACTTGACATGTTTAAAATCACAATATTAAGGATATTTTGATATATTCCACGGTATTTTTAATTTCAGACTATAAAATTTATTTATTTTTTAAAAGAAATTCATACAAAGTGAAAAAAAAAATCAAAATAAAAGAAAATATTTATAATTTCACGAGTCATATTTTTTATGTCTATGACAAAACAAAGGTCACCAAAATGGAAATCAACTTTGCTTTCGGCATCAACGTGCAAAATTCACTCTTACCTTTAATTTGTTCAAGTAAAATCATTATTATCTCTTGTTTGTTCAACAAACTTTTATAATATTCTAATAAGTTAGCTTAGACTTCAAATTTGATTATTCCACTTGCCTAAACACAAATATATTTTAGTCTTTTTTTGTAGGTAGTCTATTTTATTTTTGGGTAAAAATGTATTTTTATTATTTCAATAACTACATAACACATATATTAGCTTACACTTTTAGTATTAAATTATATATATATATATATATATTAACTTTAATTCGTTTTACGTAACCATGATAACGTAATATCATTCAATATAAATAACAAATGTAAATAAATTTTTACCCTACTTTTAAAAATGAAAGAATGCTTATTATCTAACCAATCACTTTCATGGAAGCAAAAAAGGAATAAAAGAGCAGAAAAGACAAAAAGAAAAGAAAAGTGAAAGACACTAAGCAGCAAGCGAAAAAGGAAACGTAGCGCAACAGAGCCGATGTTCACGCGTGCCCGCTAATTAGGGAATTAAGTACTAGAGTAGTATATAGTGATTCGTAAATTACTGTTAATAACATATATTTGTTCCAGTTTTTCGATAGATAATGACAGTTATAAGCTGACAAAGGAATGAAATCGGAGAAGACAACTACTACTACTACTCTATTTTAATACTACCTACATTCTTAACTTAGTGTTGGTTTGGGTCTATGATTGTTTGTTAGCAATTGTGTGCAGAGACCACAAAACCATTAACCTATCTTGAACATGGGCTTCATGATGTTTTCTTTGACTTAGCTTCTTGATAACGTTCTATCACACACACACATTAAGTTATTTTGTTTGACGTAAATGCTGAGTTCATCAGTATGTATGTACCTCTGAGGCCTCCCCATGTTGTCTCTGCCTTGTTCAAGATTCTGATTTTACTCGCTCTCTTTTGACATTACCAAATCAAGAAAACTAAAAGACTATTCCGAAGTGGCAACCACGTTCCCATTTGCCCTCATTTCATGGCTGGTTTAGTACAGCTTTACCATTCCTCATCTTCCAACATTCCTACCTGTAACCCAACACTCTAAGAGGTAACTTCACTTTTGAACTACTAACATTGCATTCACCTTTCTTCCAATGTCTTTTTGAGGGATCTGGGTCTGTTTCGTTTTCCTTTAACTGTTGACTTTGGAATCTTTTGATCTGGGTTGTTAGTAGTTTAGATTTTAGGGTTTAATTAAGACTAGTTTTGGCTTTGAGAAAGGCTGATTCTAAGCAAAATATTGCAACTTCAATTTGAGGATTTAGTTTTTGGGAAGAAGGGGTTTTGCATTCTTGGATTTGTGTGTAAATGAGAGGTTTTTGAGAAATTCCAATGTGGATTTGGGAGTTTACTGCATAATTCTTGATCAGAATTGAGAGCTTTACTGAATATGGCCTCTCCAAATTCTCCCTCTTCTTTTTTTCCATTCCCAACTTTCCCCACAGCTACACCTTCAAATTCTACTTCTGATTCACCTCCTGCTCCTCCTCCTGATTCTTCATCTCCTCCTCCTCCACCACCTGACTCTTCAGCTCCACCTCCTTCTCCACCAGCTCCAGATTCTCCTCCTCCATCAGAATCAAAATCACCTCCACCGGCAGAATCTCCTCCACCTCCACCTCCACCTCCAACAGCAGCGGCGCCACCACCTTCGGCGCCTCCTCCAAAGCCGTCAGTGTCACCACCACCACCACCTTCTCCTAAGGCTCCTCCACCAGCTAATTCTCCACCTCCAGCTTCATCTCCACCCCCACCATCAAAAGATTCTCCTCCTCCTGCTCCTCCTCCTTCCCCACCTCCTCCCCCTCCAGCAGTTTCACCTTCTCCTCCACCACCAGTGAAAAATCAACCACCACCCCCTGATTCTCCACCTCCTGCACCTGTTGCAAATCCGCCACAAAACTCCCCTCCACCTCCTGCATTGGCTCCCCCTCCACCGAACCTCTTAACATCTCCACCCCCTTCTATTTCACCTCCTGCTCCCCCAAATAATACTTCTCCAGCTGGAGCTCCCCCTCCATTACCTGTGACTCGCCTTCCTACAGAGAAGCCCACTGCTATCCCTAAGCCTGCTATCACTGCAGATTCAAGTGCCAGAAATGGTGGGGGAAATAAGACAGGAAGTGTGGCGGCAATTGGTGTTGTTGCTGGGTTTTTGGCCCTTAGCTTGGTCATTGTTGCTGTCTGGTTTACACGTAGGCGAAAGAAAAGAGAGAGTGCATTTAATCTCAATTACCTGGGACCCTCTCCATTTGCTTCCTCACCAAATTCAGGTATTGCTTTCAAGGTTCTTAAATTTCCTTATGGATTTTGCTGTATGGAATTTGTTTATTGCTAAAACATTCCAATTTTCCAGAGTGATAAAAATGTATTCATCCTTTCCTAAACTCTAGCTTGCATGTATTACTGTATTGATGACAAGGAACTATATCACGTGAACCATAATGATCCTTTTGTAGAAGGAATTAATGGTACAATTTGTTCTTTTTTTTCGAAGTTACAGATGACTCATCTGTATTACCGAACATCAAAGGCATATTTTTGTTTCTTTTGCATGATAATTCACTCTTTTTTCCCCTTTGCTACAGAGTGGAGTGCACACAACAAAATCACTTTGCCCAAGAAAACAAGAATTCTGAACTTTTGTGTAACTTAGTTGTCCATATTCTCTTTTTACCTTTCCATTTGTGGATCAGCTTTATAATGTAGAGTACAGATCAGAAAAATTATGTTCCACTTTGTCAATTTTGCAAACTTATCTCGAGTATTGTTAGTGTTTATTATAATATAATAACAACCTATCCCGTTCCCAGCTTTTGGAGTCTTACTGAAATACTTATTTTTCCAGATACATCATTCCTGAGATCAAGGTCTCAACATTCCACTAATCTAGCTCCAACTGGCTCGCAAAGCAATTTTATGTACTCTCCAGACCATGGGGGTATTGGAAATTCAAGATCATGGTTCACTTACGAAGAATTATCAGAGGCAACAAATGGTTTTTCTCCTAATAGTGTTTTGGGTGAAGGTGGTTTGGATATGTTTACAAAGGTGTTCTTAACGACGGAAGAGAAGTTGCTGTCAAACAGCTGAAAAGTGGAAGTGGACAAGGGGAGCGTGAGTTCAGAGCAGAAGTTGAAATTATCAGCCGTGTGCACCATCGCCATTTGGTTTCACTTGTTGGTTACTGTATCTCAGAGCAGCAAAGATTACTTGTCTACGACTATGTGCCAAATGACACGCTTGACTATCACCTTCATGGTAAGACAGGTTTGAGATAAATGAACTAATGAATTGAAGTATTTGGATTACTGTACTCTAGATTTTGTTCTCTATGTTGAATTCTCCAATTCCACAATTCCAAGATGAGTTACTTATTTTTCTTATCATGGCTGGTAATGACCATTATGACATGAATAGCTGCTAACAACGGCTTCAACCAATTGGCCTTATACTGTGCCACATTTCTATGAACATAGATGGAACTGAGAAGGATGTTCTCTAGTCTCGGATATGATGCTAACGTAACTTCTATCGTTGATTAAATGCTGCAGGTAAAGGCATGCCAACTATGGATTGGGCTACCCGAGTAAAAGTAGCTGCTGGTGCAGCACGTGGACTTGCTTATCTGCATGAAGACTGTAATTTTCTTATTATGTTTATATTTACTCTTGTCCACATTAGTTAAACCTAGGGCTTCTGGAGACTTAATAAAAGGACTAATGGGGACAAAGTGGCTTAAAGAGTGGTTAAATTTCTCCAAAGAAGCTCAGATGCAATATCCAATGTTCTTCGCTTAGCATGTGTTATCCATCAAAAGGCCTAATTTCGACCACCCTTCATTATAGAAGTGTAAAACCTTGACTAGTCAATGTAATTGGTAACTACATTGTTTATTAATGAGAACTAATGCTAAAATAGACAAATCTTTTCAGTTGTAATGTCGCCAAATTGAATGGACTTCCTTTGGGAATAGAGCATGTTTTTATGTTCTGCAATTTTCCTTTACTGATTTATCCTCTGAAATTTTGCTGATTATGTTGTTCTCAGGTCATCCCCGCATTATCCATAGGGATATCAAAACATCAAACATTCTCTTGGATATCAATTTCGAGGCACAGGTATGGCAATTTATCCAACCTAAACTTATGTTTGTGACTTGGTGTTTGTCATTGTTTGTTGAACTTAGGCATCTGAACCTGAAAAGCTCGTGTTTCATGCTGTAATGGTGTTGAGGAAATCATATTCACTATGGCTTATAGTTTATGCAGTTTGACAATGCATTTCCTCCTTTCAGGTTGCTGATTTTGGCCTTGCAAGGTTAGCAGGTGATGCCAGTAGTACACACGTGACAACTCGTGTGATGGGAACCTTTGGGTAGGTCATACATGTGCTAAGTCTTACATTTGAAGAAATCTTAGTTGGTCTTTTTCTGTTACATCATGTTATCTGACAACATCATCAACACCATGGTCAGTTGCACCATAAGTAATCTCCAAAAACTTTTATCCTAAAGCTGCTTTTACTTCTAAAACTTCTACAGTATTACTTTTTGTCACTTCCATTTCACTTTGAACCTCAGGGGAGAGAGTAAATTGACCTTAATTTAACATACATTGATTCCTCACTTGCAAGAACAACCTTCAGTTGGTATCAGCCTCGAGTTGGTAACTTTGTACTCTAGTATGGGGGCAGGATTTGGTCTTCAGTCAAACAGTTGCTTTTATGCAGCATCTCAGAACCATAACGTAAATGTCAGCCACCTAGATTTTCCAATTGGACATCCTTCGTCGGAAAATATACCATATATATAAGTAAAATGATACACGAAATGATTAAATAACATATTTTGGACACCCTTAACATAACAAGCTGCTATTTTTGGACACCCTTTGTGAAATTTCTGGCTATACCACTGATCCTACCCACAGAAATGGGTTAAACTGATATTAAATTATTAATCAAAATGACTAATTTTGTAGTTGTATGGCATGTGTTCAGCTGATTACTTGACATTGACATAAATGATTTCAGATACTTGGCGCCAGAGTATGCATCTAGTGGAAAATTAACGGAGAAGTCTGATGTTTATTCATATGGGGTTGTGCTTTTGGAGCTTATTACGGGACGGAAACCTGTTGACCAGTCTCAACCCTTAGGGGATGAAAGCCTGGTTGAATGGGTAAGTTCAAATTTTTAGTTGTTTTAATTTCCTGTAATGATTAATGTTGATGCTTAATCAGAGTTTGTGGCCAAGCATCCCTTGTATGCTGAATTAAAGAGAAAGAAAATATCGAAACTTAGGCCATGCATGTGCCCTAATATATAGGGGGGAAACTCAGGTTTCTGGGATGTTTATTTCTTTTGAGGAAGAATAGAGGTCGGTTTCCAAAATTTTTCTGTAAAGGCTCTGGGAGATGGTAATACACTATGGGCGGACCCACCCTGACCCAAGGGTGTCAAGCGACAACCCTTTGTCGGGGAAAATTACATTGTATACAGTGATCAAATTTTGATTTAATAAATATATATATACAAGTATTGACACCACTGGACACAAGTTAAAGGTTTAGTCTAGTGGTTAGGGTGTTGTTAAAATTCCTCTCAACCTTGTCTGACAATTAGTATTGCTATTCACACTAGTGATGGAATTGTTTAGAGTTTTCCTTGTTTGCTCATACGTATTTCTCAAGTCATCCAACTAGTGCTTTCATTAAATCGAAGCTGAGAATGTTACATTCTATCCTGTAGGCTCGACCTTTGCTTGCTCAAGCACTTGAGACTGAAAATTTTGAAGATGTAGTAGATCCTAGGCTTGGAAACAACTTTGTTGCGGGTGAGATGTTCCGGATGATTGAAGCAGCTGCAGCTTGCGTTCGTCATTCAGGCTCTAAGAGGCCACGGATGAGTCAGGTAATTTGAGTGCTATTGCAGGTCAGGCAGTTCATTATGATTCATTTCGTTGCAGTCCTGATTTTTTTCCTCCCATTTCAGGTGGTTAGAGCTCTAGATTCCATGGATGAGCTGTCGGATCTGTCCAATGGCGTGAAACCTGGACAAAGTGGAATTTTTGAGTCAAGGGAACAATCTGCACAGATAAGAATGTTTCAAAAGATGGCATTTGGAAGTCAAGAGTACAGTTCAGATTTCTTCAATTACTCCCAAGGCAGCTATAAAAGTTGAGTTCTCAATGGCTCATTATCAAAAAAATTGCCCTTGACAAGTGGTTTTTCACAGAGAGATCTGACTTGTAATTAACATTGTAAATCACTGTGCTATTCTTTCTTTTTTCGGCTAGCATTGAAATCTGCATTCTTTTTTTACTCTTTTTTGTTGTCTTCACACGACAAACAACTGGTTTTGTAGCATTCTGAAATCAACATTCTATTCATACAATGTAGATAAAATGTTAATCAAGGGTCGTTTGACTGAGTACCAAATGCAGTTACTACCTTATAAAATTTCTGTAAGGACAAAAAATTGTTCCATTTAGCTATTTAACCATCCAAAGTTCACTCGTAGATTCTCAATTATGTTAATTAATCATGTCATTAAATAGTTGATAGAGTCAGATGATTACTTAACCTGAATTATTATATAACAAGTGTTGGATTGACTTATAAAAGCACATTATTAATACTACCATTCTTATATACGCTACCAAATAATTGTGATTCCGGTCCTGTACCATTAAATGAGCGTGGAAGTAGTAGCATCAATTGTATGACTTGTCTTTTGGATGATTTTGCAATCTCCACGTACGCTGCCTTCATGCCGCAAAATTTGTAAAATTGTTCGGCAAGTTATTTATGGTTGATTTAACATTTTCCATAAAATAATAAATGATCCAAGAGTGAATTCATGAGACAGAGACACTGGCCAATCTTTAGCTTAATTAGTTCTCCCTTCTACAGATCAATAAGTGATTTTTTTAACTGTCCCAATGTGAAATACTATAGCCTTGACTTTGATATAAGTATCGAAGATCTCGCACTTTGATGAATGACCAATATGTTAGGTAGGTGTAGATGGGGAACCTGATTGGCTTACAGTAATTAAATATAAATCTCTTCTTCTAAATATATAGACTTAGTGCTTCAATGATAGCAAAAATTGAGGTGAACTTACCTCCACAAACACTACCTAACATTCTAGTTGACATTAAAAGACAAAAACTCCTGCAATTAGTACTTCCATACAATCACAGCATCCCATATTTCTTTCATATTTACCATTTTATCTACTACTTAACTAATTTATTATCTTTTGGTACATACAGAGCTTGTATAAGTGTATATAAGTAGGCCACTCTCTAACTATGATACCCTTAAGGCTCTGAACAGAAGGATGGATGTCGCAATATCCTTAGAATTGGAGCCACTAAAGCAGAGGAATGATCATGGAATGTTCTTTTCTAGTGGTAATTTTATCTGCAGTTTGAATGCAAGAGACAGGAAAATTGTTTGTGTCACCAGTGGAAACTCCTACTTTGGTTCTCACTTGATCAAGAAGCTTTTGGCATATGGTTACCTTGTTCGAGTTATTATTCAAAATCAAGCTAATCTTGAGGACATGAAGGAGCTGATGAGGGAAGAAATGAAGCGACTGGAGAGTGTTGTGGTGGCAAGAATGGATGATTTAGATAGCCTCTGCGATGCTTTTAGAGGTTGTCATGTTGTTTTCCACACATCATCTTTCGTTGATCCGCAAGGGATCTCTGGATACACGGTTAGTCATAATATTCTTTCTCTTGAATTTAAGTTTATAAATGATTACCAATAACTTTTGTTTCAGTCATATGATCGATTATGTAAAAGTATCTTCATATTAATCACTACATAGAACTTGTGTTCTTCATTTCACTCTATTTGGTAGTTGACTAACTTGGAATGGTACATTATATTATTCATTGTCCACAAGGACCACAACTTTAGGATTTGATCTTTCTCAACTCTAAGGTAACTATCTTCTTTAATCTTGAGTCCTGGCTGGTTAGCATCAGAATAATTGAAGCAGCAATTCTTCTTCAACCTCCTTTTTACACATCAGGTTGCTGAAATATATATATATATATATATATATATATATATAAAATATGATGAACAGAAATTTCTTTAAATTTCACCTAGTGCAGCAGCTCTGTTTTTTAAAAAAATTCTACTAAACAAAATTCAACCTGTGTAAATCTCAAAGATATGCTGACAAGCCAATATGATTCAGGAACGAATGGCATTTATTGAAGCTGAAGCAGCAAAGAATGTCATAGAAGCTTGTGGCAGGACAGCATATGTTAAAAGATGCGTTTTCACCTCTTCTCTACTTGCATGCATCTGGAAAAATGACCTGCCAAACCTCATAGATGAGAGCTCTTGGAGTGATGAGACATTCTGTAGAGAACACAGGGTATACTTGTTAGCCTTCATTCTTCATTTTCATCTAAAAGGCAGACGGAATACTAAGAGAATTAAAATGTATACATATAATACGATCACTTACTCTCACTAACTCTAGATTCTTGATTCACCTCTACTATTAATCGTCTCTACTATTTAAAATCTTTTCACGGAAAAAACAGCTTTGGCTAGCATTGGCCAAGACCAGGGCAGAAAAGGTTGCTTGGAGGAAAGCAAGGGAGATGAAGGTGAAACTTGTTACTTTATGTCCTGGACTTCTCATGGCACCATCTTTCCCAAACGCTCACCTTGAAACTTCTCTCCCGTACCTCAAAGGTATTTTTTCACACAATCAATAATCTATAACTTAAAATTTTCCACTTAATTGAGGATTGGAGAAGAGCTTAGCAATTGCAACTCTATTTTGCATCAAATTTCACATTTAATTTTATGGATCAAACTAATAAAATAGATTGGGAATTGATCGATTTGTTTACTAACTTGAAGAAATGTTCACTTGTAGGTGGCGATTTCATGCTAAGACAAGGAATTCTAGCAACTGAAGAAGTAAGTAAAGTGGCAGAAGCACATATTTACGTCTATGAAGATATGGACTATGGAGCGTGTGGAAGATATATTTGCTTTGGAAAAATAGTTGGAACATTGGAAGAGGCCATACAACTTGAAAATGGCTTGAATATATCTGGCCACTTGTCTGGGGATCAAAGCCCTCTTGCAGTAGCAGTTGATAATAATGAAATTCCTCCCAGAATTACTAAGTCAAAGCTCAGTAGATTACTATTCCATGCGTCACAACGCCTTCCTTGCAAACAGTGAATAATAATATTTGTATGGTACTTAACTCAAAATATTATTACAAAAAAGGTAGCAATTAGAGAAGTGTAGTCAGGAATTTATATAAAGGTAATGTCATGATTGATAATCGAATTTGTGAGCAGAAGTTATTTTTCAGCTCAATTTACCACAACACTATATTCAATAATTTTATAATTTATTTATGTAGACTGTAGTAATACTAATAAGTATAATATGTTGGTCTAATATAACACAAATATAAAAAATTACAGCTGAAAATAAATGGACAAAAATGAATAGAAAAGTATTCAGGCTGAGGCACGGATATCTCACTCTTTTTAAGAAGATTTAAGTCCATTGCGACATAATTTACACTGATCCAGCTGTATCACTCTTGACTTGTCCCCTCCAGAATACAGCATCCCAACAACGTCGTACAACTCAAGCAATTTCGAATTAGTTGAAGAATCCAAAACTCCACAAAAGAACACATGCATTCAACATATAATTATTCTCTTTTGTATAGTGAATATAGTTGAAAACTTAGAATATTATTCTTTTGTTTTTTTACTCTCTCTTTCACTAGTACATATTAAATATTATTTCACTCTTCTCATCTTTCTTGATACTTCACAAAGGAAAAAGCACCATTATTTATAGATGAAGAAGTTTTCCATATAATCGATGGTAGAATATTGAGCGGTGGTAATATAGGTAGATAAATCTGATAGGTATTACATAAGTTATAAGAAACTAATGGTGATGAGAGTTACAAGAAACTAGTAATAGTTATCTTCCATCACAATTTTATACCGCTAACATATACATTTAATATTTTATTTTAATAATAAAATATATATACCAACATAATATTTCTACGAAAAAGAAATCCATGTTCCTTAGTACTAGCTCCATTCATGTGGTTAATTATTTGTAGGAAATATGTCGTTTACCTAAAGCGAATAACATAATATTTCTATGAAAAAGTGTATTTTAAATTATTTCAAAATCAAAATAAAATTAATTTATTTTTAACTGTTAAAAGTTATTATTTTCTTGAAAGTAAACCATATTATTAATTAAAAATATATTTCTAATAATTAGACGTGTGAAAAGGAAATGCGAGGAAATTTCTAGGTACTCCACGACTAAACGACTGTGAAGAATTGTAGAACAGACGACGACGACTCCACTGGTTTAGCAGAGAGAGAGATGGGAGAAGAGGCAGAGGATCCACAGAAATTGAAGAAGATAGCGGCGGCGGCATATGACTATGAGAATGATCCAAGATGGGCAGATTACTGGTCTAACATTCTCATTCCTCCACACATGGGCTCCCGCTCCGATGTTGTCGACCATTTCAAGCGCAAGTTCTACCATCGTTACATTGTCAGTATTCCCTCTTATTCTAATTGACTCATCATGCCGAATAAAACGGAACAGATATACCTGAGTTACATAGCAGACTCCACTTGGTTTTAGATTTGGTGCTTAGTTTGATGAATTTGCGTTTCATGTGTATATACACTATATCTGTTACAGTATTTTCTTCCCCTAACTGCTCCGGGATCCTTGGATTTCGTATTTTTATTAATAGCGGGATTTATGTTATAATGGATCTAATATCCATATGTTGATTCGGAAGGCTTTATTTTGTTATGAATTTAACTCGAAATTCAATAGAAAAGTAACTAAACTAGAACACAGTCAATGTTTGTGGAACAATTTTCGATTATCTGAAATTGAAACTAACAATCTAACAATACACTGACCTAAATTACAGAACTGAAACAGAACTAAATAAATATAGCCTAGATGAAGTTCCTTGATCTCAATCTGAAACGAAAGAAGAAGAAGACAGGATTAGAACGGAGTTGAAAAGAAGAGAGAAGAGGCAAGGAAGAAGTTGAGAATTGTAGGATACCAGTTTCTTTCACGTCTCCACTCTTTCCCTCAACGTGTATATGATAACCTCTCGACTAATCTCAGACGTTAAACTTGATTTAGCTACTTTTAATCCAGGCCCTTTATTATTTGCAATTCACTCCTTCCGCATCTCCTATATTAACTAATACTCCTTCCACTACTAACTGCTATTGGAAAGTTAGCTGAAGTTGTTACATATTTCCGGGGAAATCTCAATGCAGTGTTTGGGGCTTTTGTAGTCTAAACTGATATTGTCTATATGAATTCAGTAAAATATCCTTTTTTGCCCTTGCGGAGTTGAGTGTAAGAGCGTTAAGTTTGATGTTTACCTAGGCCTTTTCCTTATATATTAAGTCACTTTATCTCTTGAAATTCATGCAGGTCACTTTGTCATCCTATTCCTTAGCTAGTTGTTATATTATTGCATTGATAATAAATACAGCTAGGGATGGCAACGGGGCAGGGCGGGGAAAACCTGCATAAATCCGTGAAGACCTCCACCCGCCCCACCCCACATAACAAAATTTTCTCTTTCAACCTGCCCAAACCCGCCCCGCAAAATTTGTTATTGTTTTCTTTATAAAATAGAACTTTTTTGAATGACTTTGATAGCTTATGCTATCATAAAAACATCACTGATGCAATAGCTGTGAAACCTTTCATCAAAAGACAAGTATTTGATAGTTTAGAACTATTTGAATATATACAAAAAATGACGAAACAACTGAAGAATTAAAAGAGAACTGATTATTATAACACAATGACAAAAGAAAGTGATCCCCAAGAATAGCGGAAAAATGGATTCTCAATTAACATAACACAATGACAACAAAAAAATAAACTATTGATTCTTTGAAAATAAGTCCAAGTGATTAAGCTAATAAAAGCAAATAAAAGGTTAATCTGGTAAGTATTTGATAGTTGGTTTTCTTGCCTAAAGCCTAAACAGAAGATAAGTGGAAGAAATACTTTAGTGATTTTATTGGATTTATCTCAAACCCGCACCCTGCTCCACCCCACATGGTTTTTATTAAAAAAGATTTAAACCTGCCCCTGCAAAAGCTATAACCTGCACCGTGCCGCAAAGGTTGTAACCCGCTCTTCCCCGCACCCGCACCCACCCCGCCCCATTGCCATTCCTAAATACAGTGTTGGACAAATTTGGGCTTGATGAAATTGTGTTGAGAATTTCATGTTTGCTTTATTTGACAATCCTCCTGCTTTCTTCTTCTGCACTTTGTCACCCTATTCTTTAGCTTCTATGACGTGGTTATTTTGAATAACTGTATAAGTTCCTATTGCTTATACCATTGTTGGATATTGTTTCGTTGTATGAGAGCTTATAAAACCCTCATTGCCCAGTTTTCAACGGGGATGGATAAAACTAGGTGGTGGTTTTCTGTTATATACTGGTGCAGCAGTCCTGAGCTACTAGTATTATGGACTTTACACTGAGAAATATTTAACATGAAGTGAAATGAAATGTGAATTCCAATTTTAACTTTTCTGTAACTGATTTATCTGCCCTTTCTGATGAGTACTTAAGCTTGGCTCTGTCTGACTGAATTTCAGATGATTCTAAATAATCAGTTGATTATTACTATTATTTTTATCTTGGGAGATTTCTTCTGCGGTTCGCTTTGTTGATTGTGCATCTATCTGTCCAGGATCCTGGTCTTGTTGTTGAACCAATGACTACCAGCAGTTCATCCCAATCAGCAAGATCATCAGCCCCACAATCTTCTTCTTCATCAACTTCTAACAACCAGCCAAGACAACGTAACTCTGGTATGAATTTCTTTCGGATTTCTGAATGACTATAAGAGCTCCTCTTCCGGGTAGACATCTTCATTTCAAATGTAAATTTGTATTTTCATCCAAATGGAACTTATTTCAGGGGCAGCTAGTAGAACTTCTGGGACATCCACAACTCCAACTCCAACTCCAACTCCAACTTCAAGTGCAACGTCACCGCGATGGAACCGTCAAACTATACAATTTTCAGTGAATGCTTGGGTACCATATCTTCATCGTAGTGATTTGAATTTTGGAACATTGTCTTTTTAAATTTTGCACTGTGTGAAAAAGTTTTAATTAGCTGCTTCCTGTCAACAAATTAAAATGTTTTAACTGCTCTATCTGGCAATGGTTAACTCTCTATTAGCACAAAGAGGTTATTATGTGTATATATACTTTCAAAGATAGGACCTCATCTCCTTTATAGTGATGGAAACTGATAGGGCCCTTCTTTACCACATGCCAACTTTTTCTAGCAGTGATGCCTCTCTATTAACAGGGATGCATCACGGAAAAATTCCTTGGAGGATTATTGCCTTTCAGCATGACTTCTTATAACCTTCAGTAACTTGCGATTGATTTTTGGTACCCTTCTTTACAGGTCCTTGTTGTAGCAGTTCTTGCAATCTTTCCTCTTATACCTACAAATCTGTCAAACAGAGCATATCGATTGGCCTTTGCAGGAACTGCATGTTCTTCCCTGTATTCATTATACGCATTATATGGGGTAAATTCTGAATGCCGATTTTTTTTTCTCCTCTCTTTGTTTGAGGCTAGTTCAAATCTTTTGGTCTAGGAGGCAACTTTTGATAAATCTTTTCACCTTTTTGCAGAAGCCTAGCGCTTGGAATTTGCAGGCACTGCAAGTTTGGCTTCAGTCAGTTATTATGGCGAAAGATTTTCTCTACTTCATTTACTGCCTTACTTTTGTCACTTCACATCTCTCCTTGAAATGTGAGCTTTAGTTTGGCTTGGTTTTGTTTGTCCTTCTCGTTCTTAGTATTTTTTATAGATTTGATGTCTAAGTTCAGTAACATATGTTATTGGTCAATGCTGAGCAGTTGCTTTGATTCCCGTTATATGCCGAGGACTTGAACATGTTGCGAAGTTTCTTCGACGCAACTTCAACACATCTTCTTTATACAGGTAGCGGAACTGTACTTTAATTTTGTGAAAAGAAAAGTTCTCTCTCGAAATGAGAGATTGTAAAATTGTTTAAAATTGAATAACATCCTAGGGAAATCTTTGATGTCATGGAAAAATATTTATTCATGTTGTAAATCTCTTAGTGGTGTACTATTTGATGTCC